GAAAATGTGGTTGTGTGCATGAGTAAGCCTTTTTACTGAAAACTTTAAGGCTGATCTAATACAGTTAATTAAAAGTTTAGTGTTGCCTCAGTAGACTGTGGTAGAGAAATTCAAATACTGGGTCGCTGAAGTACAGTATTCAAGTTGGGGCAATATTTTATTCAACGTGTTTTATTCAGTTCCTTAATCTGTCTCAGAATTAGAGCAGAGGTGAACATGCAGGACTCTGGTAGATTGTATCGTGAAGAAGGTGTAAATGAATTGTGTGTGTCCTCTTCTCTTCTGCACTTTTGTGTCCCAGAAATGTCCAGAATGTGGTTGCCTTTCTTTAGCACCATTCATACCTTCACAGGCAGTGAGAGTTGTGTGGGTCTGTGTTGTATGCTGAAGCTGACCACAAAATAGTAACTGCGGGGTAGAAGCATTCCTTTCAAATGCTGGCTGTGTTTCCGTAGGTTGCCGGCTGTTTTTATCGACTCAAACTACTGAAAGAGGCTCAGCTGAATGGTGCTACAAAGTGATATTTGGCAATTTAAACAGCTTAGCGTATCACAACGCTACTGCAGCTCGACATAACATCCCATCCTGGCCTATATTCTGCCACAGCTTGTTTCCACAACCATTCAGAACTAGTAGAAGCAAAGATGCTACAAGACGCATCTCCCAGTGGCATCAAGAGCATCATGTCTCTGACATTCCAAGTGCCTGATCCTGGTCTGATGAGGAGGGCTACATGAGTACAAGTGTTGTCTTTGTTTGTACTATCGCTGCTGATTCTTGCGTGTCTCTGGAAAGCCTTCAGTTAGCCAGTTGGACTTCTCAGCCTTCACATAAAGCTCTAAGTTACCTGTATTTTGCCAGAGGTCTCAAATCACATCAGGAGGAATGGGGAAAAAGGTTCTTTTTATTTTTCAACATTATGAATCTTGACCCCTCATTCTTATCCGTAGTACTGAAGGAGAAAAGTTCCTGCTTAATGACAATAAGATCATTATATCTCTGCTTATCATGTAGTTACACAATTGTTTCTAAATCACTTATTGTCCAAAGCTAGCAATAAGAGAATGATGGTCTTTATGTCCGTCAAACAAATTACATTCCCATTACTCACCTGTTCTCAAGTATTTGTTTTAATAGCAAACAGCGTGTGTTCACAGTTTCTTTTCAGTTGGCAGGGAGCCACATGCTTCTAAGAGGAACTCATCTCTCAAATGAAGACAGTAGTGTGTTTTCAGGATTGGTAGAAATTGTCTCATCTATGGCTTCTGGCAGCAAAGACTGTAAAGTGTCTTGTGTGAGAGATTGCAGTATCATTGCGGAACAATTACTGCTTGGCAGCAGAGCTGCTAGCTCTGTTTTTGGTCAGCTATGGTATACACTACAGTATCAGCACCCCATGCAAGGTTTGCCTTCTGCCTCCAAGAGGAAAATTACAGAGCTCTGGAAGCTTGCCTGCCTGCAGTCAGTGATTGTCTTTCTGTAGTATGCTTCTTGAAGCACGTGTATGCTTCCTCTCCCTGAAAAGTCACTAAAAAGATAGCTTTTTTTTTTTTGGTTTTATAAAGTGACTGAGTAGTTACTGCTAGCAGATAGTACTGATATTAATAGAATTAGTATTTTCTTCAATTTTGGAAGAAGAAGATAGCTCTGATCAATGCATTATAATGGATGTGTTTCAGAAGATTTGGTTACTCTTTCATACAGTATGGAAGTCTATGCTATCATCAGCATATATAATTTTTGTATTCCCTTGCCACATAGATGTTCAACAAACAAAAACAAGCATACTCTTTATTTTACTTGACTCCCATCGTCATGTCACAAGCCAGTGCTATAAAAATGAGTTTTTGGTCTAGGCCAGCAGCACCTTGTGTTGCCAGCTGCCAGCACCCTATGGAGCATCCTGCATGAGGAGCATGCTCTCCCACTCCTTTCAGAGCAGCTAGCTAGAGAAACAAATTCAAATACTTTCCTGCAACAAATAGTGTATTACCTGATAGGCACACATTAGTGGTAGGTGTTCTTTCAGAGTGCTACTTCCCCCTTCTCCCAAGTTTGTTGTTATCAGCTTTTGACTTGCATTTAAAATAATAATTACAAAAGCTTTTTGGTTTTTGTGTATTCTTCTTGTTTATTTTTATGGAACTGACTTTGAGGTCTAAAATGAAGGATAAATGGTGGTTAATCAAGCTTAAGAGTAGGGGCAATGCAAATGATATGAAACAGCCCCAGTTCCTTTAGTTCCTTTAAGACCTAACAACTACAGTCACAAATACCGAGGTAAAGAAGAGACGGAAGTCAGCATCCATTGTTTCAATGTAAACTTTATTACTTCATTGGAACCACAGGATTTATGTTTATTGTAAATCTGGGCATTTCCACTAACATGTTAGTGATGGGTTGGTGAATTGGCTTTTAGTTATGTTTCATCTATATTAGAACTGGACAGTAAATTGTCATGTATAAATTTCTTTGACTTTTTTGTTTACTATACTCTTTTATGTTTTCTCTCCAAAACTCAGACTGCCCAAAAGAGTGACAGGCTGCATGAGTCCCTCTTTGGTATCGCATGGAGTTGCAGCAGGCTGAGACCTGGGATCAGACTCTGAAGACTGGGTCTGTGCTATTCAGTGTCATTGCATGTTGTATGAACTTTCTGGTAGTGCATCCTTCCTTCCCAGTAAGATTTGCTGTGGTCCACATGCTGTCACGTTTGTGATACTTTTTGCATCAGGTCATGGGATTACAAGGACTTTGCTTTAGAGTTCTGTTCAGAAGAGGATTTTAATAAAATCCCAGGTTAGGGTGCATCTGCTTCCCCTGGGCCCCGCAGTTTGTGTATTTGTTTTCAGGAAAAGGTAAATGATTTTTACTGTAAGTATGGAACTATTTTGAAATCAAAATGCTTTGTGACATGGAAAAGGATTGTATGCCTAGGTTTAGGAAAAGCCAGGTGGTTTTTTTTTTTAACGGTTATTTTGTTTATCTGAGCCCAAAACAACCAGAAGCCATTTCAAGGTTCCAAAATGTCACCTTGATTAACAAACCAAGTTAAATTTTTGCTTCCAATAGAGACTTGAAGTTGGGTTTGACCATTGCCATCCAGTTAGACCTGTGCTTTCAGCTCAGTATGTGGCACGGTATGACTGCAGTGTCTCAGGCTCCCAGAAATCCATCTCAGTGTTTTCTTGTGTAATGTTTTTAACAGTTTTTATGAATGTTGTGAATGTTCAAGTATTCCCTTGTTAATATTTGATTAGGGGAGGGGAGGCGTGTCAGGTCCGTGAGGACGCTAGTCCTGTCTGATTATTCAAGAGAATGTACTGCTCTGTTGCAGTTGCCACAGTAGAGCGGCAGCAGCAAAGTGCAGCCTTGTTCTGTGCGCGATGCCGTGCCTCGTGGCAGTGGTGGGTGAGCTCTGCGTGCTGGAGGCAATGAGCTTTGCAGCCAATATTTACAGTGTGGGGATGTGTTCGTTCACTTTGGTTACTGAGCTTTAAAAAGCGTTTGAAATGGTCTGCAGTGATGTGTTCCTGCTGGGAGGGGCAGTGGGTTCTATGGCGTATCTTTAACCAGCCTGTTTGTTGTACAGCACTCAAGTTACACCTTCAGAAGGAGATTTCTTTTTTTTTAACTTATTGTATTGAGCAGCATAGCCTTCAGGGGGCTTCCTGAGGAAATCAGTGCTAATTAACCTTGTATTTGGAGCTTTCATGGAGGTGATCTCATTGCAGAAGTTAGAAGAAACCATATCCCAAGTCCTGCAGGATGCATCCTGCTTTCATGAGAGTGATTCCTGCACTCTGAGCTCTTTGCCTCTGGGGTTGGAGATGGGAGCCATAGGTGCATTGCTGAGCCACGCCTGGTCTTACTGAACAGATGCGCAAACAGCAAAAAGTAGAGAGCTCTTCAGGGACCACTGAGGAAAATAAAGTGTTTAAGCCTCCTTCTGTGTGATGTAAGGTGTGGAAGAACTGTTTGCATTAACTATAACCCATGAGTGAAAGTGACTTCTCTGGTATGGCAAGGCAAGCAACTAATATGTAATATAATTATGTAATACACATTCATCAGGAAAAGCTTGTTAGTAATTCACTTTTTAAAATTCAAGGAATACTTGTATTTTATATTTCAGTGATTTTCAATATTTATCAAAGTATAAAATAGTGATGTTCATCTACTTTAAATAGTATTCAACAGTTCGTATAATGTTCAGGGAATGGCAAATATGAACTTGAAAAATAATAAGGGTTGCTCTGATAGAATCCTTATCTGTAATTAGCAAACCCTAACAATGGAGTAAAGCTTCCCTAATACCCCTTGATGGCAGTATAGATTTCAGAGTATCATTTTCATAAAGCAGTATTTCCTGGTTTCATCAACACAAAAAGATTCTGAGCAGCTGCTTGTATTTCCCATGTCTTTCTGGGAGCACGATGTGGCAAAATAAAGCTGTTCTGGCTTTTATGAAGGCTGAGTTTTGGTACCTTTGACCAAGAAATATAAGAAAAGCTGAAAGAAATAGCACATCTCTATCCTCAACCAATTTCAACTAACAGGCTTTGAAATTTTGAATAGGAAGTCAGAAGATAATGTAGTTTAGGATTTGAAGTTTTGCAAGTGAAAGGGATAGAATACAGTGTTTTCCAGTGCAAGTCTGTTTTAAACAAAACTGAAGACTTTGTAGGCACCAAGTTTCTTAAATTGTGACAACATAAGCAGATACCAAACATCGTAATTGTGGAAGGAAAAAATCCACAAATGCTTAAACGTGTGTCTTTTTGTAGCAGATAATTAATGTTTGCATGAATCACTGATTTAAAGAACCATTGAATTCCCACTTTCATCTAGTAGTTCCACTGAGGAAGACTCCAAAGAAGTAACGTGACTGTGATGAAACTCATTATTTTTCAGAATTAATCCATACCCATTTTTTAACATCAAGAATGCTTTTCTTTTGAAATTTCAGGAACTCCAATTTCAAAGACTTACCAGAGAACTGGAAGTGGAAAGGCAAATTGTGGCTAATCAGCTAGAAAGATGTAGGCTTGGAGCAGAATCACCAAGTATCGCCAGCACAAGGTACAAGTCCCAATGACTTCACTTTCATATATCCCATAAGTTAAAGGGCCTCTTATGTCCTGTATCCATGTATTTCCACTAACAGCTGTTCACCTTCCATTAATATCTTAAGTACAAAAATACAGATTTGCTATTAAGAGTTATAAGACAGTTCAAAAAGACCTAGTCATTGATTGCATAAATGTAAAGCTTTAATTTCTCTTTAAGTATGTTGAAGTTTGTTTTTAAGATTCAGCCAAAGAGAAATGCAGTAGACTTGTAAATATTAGCACTAACATTGCTAGTTCAGTGCAGTAATCCTGACAGTTTGTTTTTCCTGAATTAGTTACCTGGTTTCATCCAGCTCTTCTGAAATCCTTCCTCTTGTTACATTTCCTTTCAGGAAATACCTTGCTGTAACATTGTTGTTAGCGTATTTTTGGCAGTGAGAAACATGCCTAACACATTCAATGTGTAATGACAATAACTTTAGCAAAGTGTTTAATATGTCAGCTATAATGAGTATGCCGATTTATTTATTTCCAACTTCTTAGCAAACTTCATTCTCTTATGAAGCACTTATACTTCATTTCAAGATACAGCAAGCTCCATTTTGACATATGCATAGCAGATTTGCTCTGAACACTAATTTTTTTCTAGATAACTTTGTTTCTATATTCTTTCAGCAGTAAGCTCAGGTTTATACAGTGTTTCCTTCTGGGATCATAACAAATATTTCCACAAATCAAATGAAAAGTTATTCCTACAAAAAACATAAGAAAGTGGGCATGATTATTTGCAATAAATAAATAATCCCTTGCACCACCCAACACAACTGTTTTACTTTGTCATAGCACTTAGCTTACGTTTCATTTGACAGTATTGTTCCTGGCATGAGAGTTTCTATTTGAGAAACTTCAAAATACTCAAAAATATTCTTTGGACAAGACTCCTGCTTTATACCTCTCCTCTTTGTCCATCTTTCCTCTAGTTATTGTTCAGATTTTGTTTTGAAAGCTTAATTAAAAAAAAAAAAAAAAAAAAGTTCCAACAGAAGAAAAAGTAAAAAGCCTTTGTTGTTAATTAGTTATGAATGTCAGAAGGTCCAATTTCAGTGAATCCTAATGAGTAGTATATAGGGGAAAATGTTTTCTATGTCCCAGTCTAGAGAATTTGGAGAGCAAAGAGTACTACATAAATATGAGTGAGATGTGTGTGTAGTTTTTAAAATTATGTACTGATATCTACACGGAGTTGAATACCACAGAGGTAAGATTTAGACAGGCCTGAGTAGTGGGCCCAAGTGAACATCATGAGGTTCAACAAATCCAAGTGCAGGATCTTGCACCTGAGTTGAGACAACAGCCCCTACCAGTACAAGCTGGGGAATGCAAGGGTTGAGCGCAGCCCTGCCCAAAAGGAGCCGGGGATACTGGTGGGTGGAAAGCTGGACATGAACCAGCACTGTGCCCTCGTGACCCAGAAGGCCAACTGATCGTGGGCTGCACCAAAAGCAGCGTGGCCAGCAGGTCAGGGAGGGGATCCTGCACGGCTGCTCTGCGCTGTGAGACCTCACCTGGAGCACTGCATCCAGATGTGGAGTCCTCAGTGCAGGAGAGACATGGAGCTGTTGGAGCGTGTCCAGAGCAGGGCCACAAAAATCCCTGGACAGCCTGAGAGCTGGGGCTGTTCAGCGTGGAGAAAGGAAGGCTCTGAGGTGAGCTGAGAGCAGCCCTGCAGTACCTAAAGGGGCTGTAAGAAGGAAGGGGACAGACTCTTCATCAGGGTCTGCTGTGACAGGACAAGGGGAAAGGGCTTCAAACTAAAGGAGGGGAGATTGGGATTGGATACAAAGAAGATAATTTTTACAATAAGTGCACTGAGGCATTGGCACAGATTGCCTGGAGAGGTGGGGGGTGCCCCATCCCTGCAGACATTCAAAGTCAGGCAGGACCAGGCTCTGAGCTCCTGATCTACCTGTGGGCATCCCTGTTCAGTGCAAGGGAGTTGGGCTACTTGTCCTTTAGGGTCCCTTCTGACTCAAGCAATTCTATGATCTATACCTCTGTCATTTATCATGATGCTTGTTACGATTCGGTATACAATCATTAGTTCTTAGTTCCTTTCTTTACAGCTAAGCTATGTCTACTTATATGAAAAAGTTGATGGGAGTTTAGGGGGAGAAAATATTAGTGCATAAGTTGGTTTATTATATACTTTTGTATGAGCACGCTTGAGTGTCTAGATGAGCTCTGCAAGCACTTGTTTTCAGGTCCGTAAAATGTTATTAATAACTGTAGAAAACATAAAATAAACATCTAAAATAAAGATGAATTATATTCATATAAAAAAGCATATCTGTATGTTCGTATACATGTATTTTTGCAAGCACCCTTGTATTCTGACTGCTGTTCTACCTTTTTAAAATTGTCTTATTTCATCTGAATCTAGCCCCAGAAAGAAAAATTCTGTATTTGAATCAGATTCTTCCAAATTTCTTCATGACCAGCTGCTTCTGGTAGAGTTGCTGTTCAAAACAAGTAAGATAAAACAGTAGTTCGGAGGAGTTTCAAAGCAGGTGCAAATATAATGGCAACATTTATATCTTAAAAAAATATCGGTGTGTTTCCTCAAACTTAGTGATGTAAATATCTTGCTAAGGCTGACAAAGTGACAAGTAAATATGAAGAGGGCACCTGAGGCATAAGAGAGCTTGGAAGCTGAATGCTTAGTTGAAAGATCAAGTGGGAATGGCTGACAGCCTGCTCGAAGACCCACACTGGAGTTGAGCACTTACACAGCAAAATAATATTCCATCTAGCTGAGAATTTTCCAGTATGCTCTTATCTAAAAATAAATAAATAAAAGATGTATATGCTGCCTTGTTTTTGCCATTTGTTCAGTTTTTCTTCCCCTGAGGAAATCAGTAACACTTTGTTTCAGAGATAGTGCTTTAATCTTCTTTAATGCGGTTAAAGCAGCTGGGAGCGTTTCATGTCAGACATCCAACTGGAGGCTGTGTTCACCTCAGTTGTGTGGCAGTGTCTCTGATGTTCTTGCTTCTAAACTGGATTCCTGCAACACTATGTTGGCGTGGAGATAGTGCAGCTTGCAAGACAGATGCTGTCTCCCAGTCGTGGGTACTTCTAAGCCCATTTGGTTGTTGCAGCTCAGGCTTTAAGCTGTTCTACGCTTCAGTCAAGCCATTCCTCTGAGCCAGCTCATCAGCCTGTTGCAGGAGTACTGGCTCCGTGGAAGTTGTTGTAACAGCTGTGGTAATGGGGAAGTACAGCACCACAGGACAGAGCACACTCCATGCAGAAGTAGGCACCGTCTGCACGTCCATGCCTACATCCACCCTGCAGGTTGGCACCAGTGATGAGACTGTAACCCTGTGAGCTCACCCAGAAGGACTGGTGTTGCAAAAGCATGGTTCATTCTGTTAGTCCTTAAGAAATATGTTTGTTGCTTTATTACACGTGAACAAAGGGAAGCAAACAAATGGTAGTTTGCAGTGTAAGTTTGTTAGACTGTTGCCTACCTGCCAGATAACTACATTCTAGGTGTCAGCCTCACACAGGCATAGCTGACTGCCTCACTCTCTTAAGAGGGGTGTGAATGCTGACAGCAGCAACAGATCTGCACATACTAAGGAACTGCAATGTGATGGGTAGAGAAGCAAGAATTAGATCATCTGCAGCCCTGAATTTAAAAATGTTTTTATTTTTGTGTACTTGTGGATTACTTGCCTGTTTAAATGATTTAATCCCACAATTATATTTATAAATCGGTATTTTGCTCAACCTTTATAAGATATTTCATGCCATCCTGTATGTTTTGCAACATCATAAGAGACTGAAGGAATACGTGGGGATTAGAGTTGCGTGTAAGTATTAAACATTTTTAATGCGTTATATGCTACAAAATTGGAGATGACAGAGTGGGAAAAACAATACAAAGTTTCAGTTTTATCTTATTTTTTTTTTGTGTCGTGTTATAACATGCACAGGTTTCTCTGAAGAAGCCACTGGGATGTTCAGCCTCCCATATAATACAGCATTGCAGCTAACTTTCCGTCTGTAGCGTTACTGATTCAGTCGGACTCAGTCCTGGGCTGCCAGGTGTGCTGGAGTACGTGCTGATGCAGGTAGATATCAGTGTGTGTCAAGGGGCAGAAGTCAGACTCTTTGTAAAATGCATTGCCTGACCTCTCAGGTGGGACTTTGCTGTGTGACTCTCAGGGTCAATTCCTGTCCCTCTTTTCATGAGTTATCATGTGTAGCTCTTGAAAACTGTGTGGTTTGAGGAACCAAAAGGCTCATAGTTGTTAATTTAATTGTAAAGTATTAGACTCATTATAGCAGCTTGCCTTGAATACTTCAAAAAAAAAAAAAAAAAAGTGCCATAAAAGGCACAATAGTCTTGGTCATTTAAAGAATCCAAGTCCTTTGGGCAGTATGCTTAATGATCAGAACTTCAAGTACTAAGTAAACTAAATCAATCAAGTGTGAGTAACAGTGTGCTTACCTGATGTCTTCTGACTTCTGTGAAGCTATGTATTTACAGCTATCAGGATGGTTTATTTTCTCTGCTTTCTGTACATAAAATCCCTTTTTTCCAATACCAATTAAAGCACAGTGTGAGCTCTCTGCAATAGTAGAAAATATTCCAAAGTGATTCTGTAGAGTTTTGCACTCTCTAATTGAACACTGATCGTTTTCTGTGTCACCGTTTCCTGCTCTGTCGGTACCAACTGATCACCCTCTGAAATGCCCTTACTTCGGAGCTGTCTCAGGAAATGAACCCATTTTTTCTTTTCAAGTAGAAAGAATAACAAGAATGGAACTATTTGCTTCTGTAACAGCATCAACAATTTTTCATGATTTTTCGTGTTTTCTTTGAAACTTACTTCCAATTTACTTTTTTGATTGAACTGACATACCAGAAATTTCCACTGCCCTTCCCTTCTACTTCTGCAGTTTCTTTGTTGCTACACATAGGATTTTAGGTTTTTAGGTTGTTCTGGGCACGCAAATACAATAATCATGCTTGTAGGCATTTTGTTAGTGGTTAAGGTGGACATAAAACCTCTGTTGTGTATGAGATGGTCAAAAGATTCCCTTCTTTGCCTATAAAATTCGGTTATCCACTTGAATTATTCCCAGGTGTTGAACAAAGTAATATCATCTCCAGATCTCAGTACTCTACGTAGAGGTTCTTAAGCACTGCCGCTAGAAGAAATTCTGGGACACTTCTACAGATAATTTTTGTCATTAAAATATTAAGTAACTTTTTCTAATCTCACGGATTTTTTTATTTCTCATGACTAGACACATAACTGTGCCATAGGCTTTGTCAGAGGCTTTGAAACATGGGAGCAAACTGATAGACTTGCTGCTCGCTGCCTGCTCTGACCACAGCTGAGCAGCCTGGGCAGGTGAAAGAGGCAGGCTGGTCTTTCCCAAAAGCTGTCTTGGCCTGCTCCTATCGGAGACCCTTCAGTAGTGTGTTCCTCATTGGATTCGGGTAACTAGCTGAAACTCAAATATCCAGCATGTTCAGTATGGTCTGCAGCTCCTTTAAAAGTAGCACTGGAAAAACAGCTGCTTACAGCAGGCTGGGGGTGTTTTACCATTGGGCAGGAGCCCTGCCAGCAGTCAGTGCCATTCAAGCACCGCGTCTGTCAGTCCCAGCTGAGGGGCAGCTCGTGGCTGGGAAGCTGTTCCATCCCTTCTCAGGTGGTTCTGAGGATTCACTCGGCTCTTCCGTGGTGTTCTGTTTCCTTTATCTTCTAATTGAATGGATGTGGTTTCTTGTTTTTTTTAATTACATTTTTTTCCTTCTGATAACTGGAGCAATTCAGGAACTGCATTGTTCTTAGGCTTTTTTAAATTCTGTTTTGTTTTCTTTTTCTTCTCTTGAAACTTTGCTTTGCTGTTCTGCTTACCCAGAAAAACAGATAGCAGGGTAATTTTCTTGTTACAGCTCTGGTGTGGTATGTTTGTTTTCTGCTTACCCAGGCCATAAGCATTTTTGGAGGTCTGTCAGAGCTTTGAATGCCCATGAAATGGAGGAATTTTGCTTTTTATACAATTGATTTCTAATTTTCACATACATAAAAATGTGGTTTACCGATGAGCTGCTCTGCTGATAAATTGAAGAGCATTGAATTAATATTGACTCGAGCTGCATATGTAAACACCTACTGTGTTCTGCAGTCCTGACTGGGCTGCGAAGCTGGGCTGTTGTCCTGTGAGCAGCCACCTGCACACATTTAGCTAAATGAGGTGAGGCTGGCTGAGGCCGTGTCCTGGCCGTGCTCTGTGGCTCCAGCAGGCAGTGCTGTGTGCGGGGCTGGGCTGGCGTGGTCAGCACTCAGCTTCAGGATTCAACCTGGAATAGCAGCGCCTTTCACTTGGTGGCCAAATTTGGGTGCAGTGCTCCAGACAAGGCCTTCTAAATTCCTACCCAGAGCACGAGAGGCTTGCTTTTATCAGCTGAAAACCCTCCCAGCAACTCGCAGTGCCACTTGCTCTTGCCATGCTGATGGCAGAGCTGCTGGGTTGCACATGGGACGTGAGGTGGCTGTGGTACAGCAGAGCGGGTGCAGTGCTGGCGTGTTGGTGAAGGCAAGAGGGTGCCTATAGAAAAGCTGGAGCTGAAAAACCATTTTGAGAGTGTATTCTTAGTTAAAATGTTACTGAGAACTTGTGCTATCAACAAAAGAATCAAAAGTACAAAATCTCATTATACTCATTTTGATGATTACTCGTTACTAGTGACGTTTATTACGGTATGTAGATTTCAACATATACTTTTTTCTTTTCATCTGCCTCTACCAGGAATTTAGTTATGCACAGCTTTAAGCTTTCATACTACTTACGAGTGTGCTCCTGATGCAAGTATTTAACATGGCAGATGAAGGACAGCTAAAGCATTCTGTGTGAACAGACACAAAGTGTTGACTGGCAGCTCTGGCCAGGCAGTAGGCTTACAGCCCTGCAAATAAAGCAGTTCCCATAGAGGTGGGATAGCACAGCTCACATCGGCACGGAGCTGAACTTTGGGGAAGGTAGTTGTTGGTTGTGTAAGTTATGCCCGTAGGATGATATTTGTATGAATCTGTTGCTTATCCCGATTGGCACAGAGTTTGGATTTGTTCATCTTTGTGTTTAGTGATTCTGACACTAGACCTGAGTTCTGGAGCTCCTATGTGCAAGTTTAGCACTTCCATTCACAACAGCATTGTCTCCAGAGAATGTTCTTTGTTTTTATAGTGCAAAGTACATATCCAGTATTGTTCAAGTTGCTGTGCTCAAGTATTGCTTATTGTTGGTAGCTTTGGTAGAAAAGTACAATAAATAATGCAGAAATAGATGCGTCTTATCCAACAGCCCAGTTGTCTGCTGATACGTAGACATCATGAAGTCTGATGGAGGTGCTCATATTTTCTTCTAAACAGCTTTTTGTTTGGAAAATGCAACCTTAAAATCATTGCAAAATGGTGTCCAAAGCTTGATGATCAATATTTAGAGTGAGGGAGCAGTGCTTTTTATTTAAAACGAAAAAAGTATCCAATGGATGAATTCAGCATTTGTCTGTAAAGATTGTCGTGCATTGATACTATTCCAGCATGTGAGAGAGTGCTTTTGTAGAAAAATCAAAATGATTAAGATAGTTCTCTGTAAAATAATTATTTGTAAAACGCAAGTAGAGATTTACACAGATGATAAACACCTGCTAGATCTTGGAAGCAGTTGTTTCCCAAGGCAGGTTCCATCTAAACCGTGTAAAAATGTGTTACCTGTTTGTAATTGGAGGTAGGCATGTTGTGGAGTGTCAGATGGCTTTGCTTTTTACCATATATGAAGGATCAAGTTCTCTCTAGGATGCTGGGAAGGGAAACAACAGCTAAATGTGCAGGTTCCATTTCTGCTCATTTATTCAGAGTGCATTGCACGTCGATGCAAACTGCGCTGGAGTTGTGATTCCCGAGCTTCCGTGCTAGGCTCTGCCATCGGCAGTGAATGCTCTTTTTGGAACTTGTTCTACTGCTAATCCAGCACATGATTCTGAACTTCTGCTGTATAGGATTGGTTGCACCATCGGGCCTTAATAAGGCATACATCACACCCTTACCTGCGCTGATGTGCAAAGGCCAAACTCTTTGGTCATTTGTCAGTGAGTTACAAGGAATTCCCCCTGATTAATACAAAATGAAAGCCAGTACCCAGAGGTTTAGTTGCAGTTTTAGTTGTGCTGGCTACTGAAACTTTGTCTGCTGGCTTTTGTACAATTTGGTGCACTTGCGTTTAGAAAGAAAGAAAGAAATCCTGACAAGAAATGTGGTTCTTTTAGTGATAACTTTTTTTCTTTCCGCAGCTCTACTGAGAAGTCATTTCCTTGGAGATCACCAGGTATTATCTTCTATGCGTACGTTTTGCCTTATGCCACAAACCCTTTATTTCCTTGGCATTTATTGCTTGTTTTGATGTGCACTGAACATTAGCAGTTATGCTGTGTGTCTTTTCCAGATATATTTTCTAAAGCAACATTAATATACTCTTTCACACATGGGCTTTTCTGTTCCTTTGTTATTATAAAAGCTTATTTAGCTTAAGTAAGGGTAGTTGCAGCTGCTTTTCTTGCATCTTTTTGTGCCTTTATGATTTTTGTGTTGTGTGATACTAACAGAAACTTTACACGTTTGGTGTCCTTCACAATTAATTCAAAAATAATTTTCAATCTTCCCCATAGCCCATAAGGACCATGAGGACAATGTATGTGCTTTAAGCCTGAGGTCTGTTTTTCCTTCGTATGGCTATTCTTACTTAATCTACATCCTCCAATGAGCAGTGGTTTTCCTGAGAATACTTTTTCTGTTTCTGTATCTCAGGATATCTCAAACTCTCTTTCCAAAATATGAAAAATTACTCTTATGGTTCTTCTGAGTCTACTATTAAGTATATTGCATGGAAGTGGATAGGACTGTAGCTTTCAAGTGACATCCAAGTGTATAACCTGAAGGAACTGTTAGAACCATCCGATCTGATCCTCATGGATCAGGGCAGTATTTAATGATTGAAGAGTCAACCTCTGACCTGCTGGTAGTTTCTTTAGAGTGATGAATGTATCTACAGAAATCAGCACTGTCAACACCACAGAGCAGGACCAGAATAGGATCTTGGCTCCCTGCAAACTGCTTTTTGCATTGGATGCTGTTTTCCTCATTCAGTCGTAAATTCTTGAAAGGATGTCATGTACAGCAAAACTGGTTGAATATAATCAAAATGCAAATGGAATTGTAGATAGCTTGTTACTAACTAAAAATATATTAATACTGTACAGAGCCCTATATAAAGATGCATGCAGTTTTAAGAACTATCCAATACTTTGCATCATAACACACCATAAAAAATAATGCACCATAACTATCTGCTTGCTCACTCAAATGTATCGATAATTATCCATATTCTTAGTAAATCCATCTCTTGAACCATCTTTCCCTTTTTATTGTTTATTTTGTTTATAGATACTAAGTTCTTAAACCTTGTGTATAATTCTATTTGCACAGTTTCAGTTGCCATCATGGTATCACCTCTGCTGACATGAGGTATATTAGCTTTATTACTTTCAATCTAATGTGGTCACAGCCTACTTGCCATGGCATTCAAATTTTGCTAATCAGGGTGGTGCTTTGGGGATATTCTTCTAACACTATTTTGAAACAGAAATCACATTAGCTGGGTTTTTTTGTTTGATTTTTTTTTCCAAGTAATTGAATTACTTTGTTGTGTTGTTTGTTTGTTTGGTTTTTAACTTTCATTCTGAACATTATTTGCATGGCTTTATGTTCTGTTATTTCCCTTGGCTCTCTAAGTTCCAGTGGCAGTTCACCACTGGTAAGGGTATATTCTGACACATCTCAGCCTCTGTTTTACAGACTTACCCATTCACATTCCATTCCTTATTTCCTCCTCAGTTGCTCCTATAACTTACTCAGCTGTTCCTTTTTCTCCTCATCTTTCCATTAATTTGTCTTTTTCATCTCTCCGCTCTTATTTTTATCTTATCCCCTAGCTCTCTCCTCCCAATTGCTGCTTCTTTTCCTTAGAAATCCCCTGCTCTGAGGTCACCTTGCATTTGGCAAAATGGCAGAACTTAAGAGAGGGGAAGTCCGAGAAGACAAGGAATGCACTTCTTGTTTTAGAACAGGGTTTGTGTTCAACTGTAAAGCTAACAAATACACAAGCTTTAACTTAAGAGCTTGTGCTTCTGCTTAAATGGTGCATGTGTAATGCCAAACGAGATGTATGTTACGTACATCTGGGTGAATGTAATGTAAGGCTGTTCTGCAGTAATGGCTCAGAAGTGGGCATGTTTGAAAAAAATGTATTTTTTGCTTGGACCTTTAACTGATGAAGGGAATTTTATTTACTGTTCATGTATACGTGGTGAGTGTAGCATGATGGTAGGTTTTACGTACTTACGAGTTCACTTTTGAGTTTATCTTACAGAAATATCACTCAGTGATGTCTTACTGACTGTGGTCTGAAAAATACTGGCATCAGAGGTGAAGGATGGGGCTGCCTGCAGTCACCTTATCTGACTTGCAGACGGCAGTTTGTGTGTGTGGTGCAAACTTACCTGAATGCATCAGTAGAAATATACAGAAATTGTAACAGAAATATAGCATGACGTTGTTTTGCAGATGCTTATAAAAAGAATATTAGATCAGCAGCCATTTATAAAAAGGCTATTATTTTATTTGGGGCATTCTCCTCATGATTGATAGTAGCAGAGAGAGAGAGAAAGACAAGACCTTTTATTGTGCTTTCTTGCATTTGTTAGGGAGCCTAAACAATCTTCATTATTTAGCCTTGTGAAAGCATTTGCTTGGTGGCAAATGTGTGATAGAAGTGAGGTTTCAGTTTGGATCTCTGTTTTAGGAACAGCTGTGCAGCGCTGCACAATTGAACTTTATTCTTCGGATGTGTTTCTCCCCAGATCAGTTATTTGTCAGCTTGGAATAGATCTGATAATAATGTGACAGGCAGGAGGCAGCACAACAGGGCCTTGCATTACTTAAATAAAAAAAGGTCGAAAATTAAAATGTTCAAGTTAAAGATAATTGTAAAGTAATTTAACTGCCCCGTCCCTGCAGCCTTTTAGTTTAAAGAGCATGTGTAATGCCCACTTCTGTCTGCCAGCACTGAGTTACTTCACCATTGGTTTTCTGTATCATATCCAGAGATACTTGTGATGAAATTAATGCAAGTGTACTAACACTTCTTAAATCTTAATTGGATTTGGTCTATTATACTCCCATTACAGTGAATTGATTTAGCATCAAATATAGTAGAGGGCTTGGCCTAGGAACATTCTGCTCCCCAGTAAGTGGGCTGGCTGCATGTCATTTGTAAGGTGTGTTGTCTTTATGTCTTAAATCTGGTGTTTGAACAGTGTTCAAGCATTCCTCATGATAATAATCAGTAACATTTTTAGTATGGAAATCTCATTACTGCACAAACAGCACATGGTGTGCAGCTATTGGCAAAAATCAGGTAAGAGTATTTCTGCTTTGGCTTGTTACAGCCAGGAGCATCCCTACCTCTTGAAATTCTCTTTCACAGTGTACTGCAATAACAGCTGCAATAAAGAATTTTTAACAGCCCATCTGTTGTTTTTTGTGATTTTTTTTTCCCATGACTACTGACAGATTTTATATCAGAACCATTATTTCTCAATTTGAGACATTTCTTTAGCCCCTGCATGGAGTTTTTTAGCCCTCTTCCATTTTTTCTTCCTCAGTCATTCCCAGCACAGATCTGCTGTCAGTCTGTGCTGGTTGTTACCCTGCTGGGAGGTCTGGTTTCAAGGAGTGCTCCGCAGGCATCGCCAACAACTCACAGCTTTACATGAAGCATTCACAGCAGTTGTTGTTAAACCATTGCTTCCCAGCATGTGATTTTGGGTTTCCCATCCAGTTGTGTTCACAAATTTCTTCAGCACAAATGTACATCTCTGGTGATAACTTTAAAGCAATTCACATTCCCTACTGCATCTCTGACACTTGTTCTTATCAGTGTAAGTGTGACATGGCAGTTGAATGACAGCTGAGTATTTTTGTCAAAATAATTTTGATTCAGTTTTCAGTTTGGTGACCTCGTCCTTGTCCTTGTATTTCAGACTGTTCAAATTTCTCCTTTCTTCGTAACACTGTTGTGATGTTTTCTTTGCTTTCTCTTACATACGATGAGCCTTCCCTTTGCTACGAAGTTCTGCTAATATTCTAAGAACTGATGTTACCTTAAGAGTCATTAAAAAATAAGCACTTAGATAGTAACATATTAAATAAAGCATTCATAAAATTTGCAACAGCTTGTCGATGATACACAAGTAGGGATGGAGTTCAACTCAACCTTTTACTTATTCAGGTAGGTGTTTAAGACCAGTAACTACTATTCTATGTTCTACAGTACAGTTCCATAAAGTTTCTACTCTGCAAAGTACATTTAGTAGGTAACCAATCACACTTTTTTATTAATATATGTTGGAAAGTGCATTTAAAAATTGGGAACTGTAGAACTACCTGAAAACTACAGGAAATAAGATTCGCAGGCATGCGTATGGTAATTTCTTTCCTTTAGTGTGGTAGACAGTAACTGCTGCCTACCAATAGGCTGCCTTTATGTTGGAAGTTCATTAGTAGCGTTTGAGAATTATTATTGAGTTTGCATGTGAAGTTCTACATTCCTCTTCTTCATTTATTCTTTCAGATCCAGCAGCCACCAGTGCAAACAAACCCCTCGTGTCAGAGGGAGTTCATACCAATGCCTATCACATTAGGACAGAACCAATACAAGGGAACCTCTACTCACCGGAACAGACATCTCTCCATGAAAGTGAGGGTCTGTTGTTTGCATTTTCAGTATTACAATACATTTGTTTCTGTATTAACCGCATTAAAATACAATACAGTTATGAATGTAGTAAAGTTCTGAAATACTTTATTTTCTTACTGTTACGCAGTTCTTGTATTCTTATGCTGGCTTCATATCTCCAGGGTCTGTAGGTAACTCCAGAAGTTCAACACAAATGAATTCTTATTCTGATAGTGGTTACCAGGAAGTAAGCAGCTTTCATAACAGCCAAAACTTGAACAAACCAGAAAACAGACAGCAGCATTCCGTTATTGGAACTGCTACTAACCACTTGGTGAGAAGCTCACGAGCTGAAGGGCAGACTCTAGTCCAGGTACGCTCAAAATAGTCCACTTTCTATCTATCTGTACATTGCCTTTAGCACACTTCTAAAGACACTACATGTATAGCTGGACTTATGCTTTCTGTGGGATGTAATTAACATTATGTTAAATTCGTTTATTTTAACTAACACCTGCACTGTTTAGAAAGTGGAAATGGCTTACAGCTGAAGTTGAGCAAAACTTGAGGTCTCCTGAGTGCAGAGTATGCTGCTAATACATAATTCCAAGAAAGCATCTCTCAAAATTCTTTCGTTTGTGATGTTTGGGAAAATCTCAAGGTTTTGCCCACATGTGAACATGGTGCTTAAAGAAAGATGGTGTTGGTGTTCCTGTGCCGCCTTCCTTTTCTAGCCTTCTTCCCTTTCTTTTTCATTAGTCAGAATGTTTTTAACTGGAAAAGCTTTATTAGCTTATTCTAGAATTCTTTGCAATGCTGTTCCTCAATTTCCAAAGTTAATTATTAAAGTAGTAAGAAAGCATGTTAACGTAGAAAGCCAAGTAAAAACGAGGAATGGAGCGCTTCTGAAACTGCTGTTTCAGATATGAAATTCTGGCTAGAAAAGATTGTTTTGTAGGGAATCTTGAAGGGATGATGTTTAGAGTAACAGTTATTCTTCAGCAGCAAAATATATTTATAAATTGCTTATATTTCTTGTTGGCTTCTGTCTTACAGGAGAAAATTATCTACTGTGTGGCTTAGATGATAATACTGATAAATGTTTTGATTTTGTTTTTGAACAGCCTTCAGCAAACGTTGCTACCAACCGAGCCATGAGACGCGTCAGTTCAGTCCCGTCCAGAGCACAGTCTCCCTCTTACGTGGTCAGCACAGGTGTTTCCCCTTCCAGGGGGTCTCTGCGAACATCTCTGGGTAGTGGGTATGGTTCTCCCTCAGTTGCTGAGCAAAGATCCCTCGCTTCTCATGCATATTCATCCACTACTCTGCCAGTACAGCGGGCGGCATCCCCGTATGCTGCACAGAGACCTGCTTCCCCGGTGACTGTGCGGCGGATTGGCTCGATCACATCCAGACAGACAGCAAATCCCAATGGTGGGACTTCTCAGTACCAAGCATCAGCTAGAGTTGGCTCTCCACTTGCCCTCGCTGATGTACAAACCAGAGTTGCTTCTCCACCCCAAACGCAGCTGGGATCATCTTCCCCAAAGCGTTCTGGTATGACTGCAGTTCCACAACATTTGGGAACAACACTACAGAGAACAGTCCATGATATTGAACATTACGGACAGCAGTATGATATATATGAGAGAATGGTTCCTCCACGTCCAGATAGCCTTACAGGTTAGTAAAAAAAAGGTAAAGACACAGATTAAATCTTGTTACAAGCCTAAAACTTAAATTAAACAAACAAATTAAATTAGTAGCAGTAGGATACAACTGTGGTGCATTTTGTAAATGCTGATGTCAAACACTGTGTATCAGTACAAGAAGTTCAAAGCAAATACCATCTTTCTCTCCAATTTAGCAATCAAGCTAGCAGTGCACTGCATTAAGTTGCATGCTCTAAGATTTATGTGGCTATGTGAAATTTTAAGTCTTCCAAACAGAAGCATTGTAGTATTTTGGAAGGTGAAGTACATTTACATGTATGTGCAGGATATGCACACAATAGAAGATGTTATGCTGGGACTAGTTTCACGTGTAGGTCTTTCTTAAAATAGGTAAGAGTGTCATTGAATTTTAGTCTCTCTTTTTTTTCCTAGTAATTCTGTTCTCTCAAAGTATTTCAACTTAAATATAGGGTAATATTGTCTTAAAACAAAGTCTTGAAACATAGACTGATTAATAGAGAGGCAGGTCCTATTAAGATGCAGTTACTATGTGCTTTAAGTTCTTTGTGTTTGCTGTTTTTGTCTGACCTTCATCTAAAGGAGCACAAACAGGTGTGATCTTGCATTTAGGACTGGATGCTCTTCTGAGCAGTGACTGCAACATCTGTTTTCTTTTAAACTATTATACTTCAGACAATCCCAAAATAATCCTATTTCCCAGCAAACAGAATAAGGTGTCTTCTCTCTGACCTCCATTTGCAAGGCTTAATGACCTACCAATTTTCTATGGAAAAAATCTGAAATGGACATGAAAGGCAATTAAGTAGTTAAAGTGGACACAGTCTAGTGGACCACGTAGTTTGACATAATAGTAAATCTGTACTCTTAAAGTACCATTAAGGTACTTCGCAAGTATCAGTGCTTCAGATTATCTTCTCTAAACAGGTGAATTAATATATTAATATATATCCTCTTAAAAGAGATGAAAAGACTTACTGGGGTAAATCGGTGATTCAGAAACAGATTTTAAATTCAGTGCATTTGTAGTGTCAGGGAAATAATTAGCAACTGCTGTAGTTATGTTTAGCAACTCATTTTGTAGCCATTTTTGCTATAAAATGTCCGGGAAACTTGCAGAGTTATTACTGTCTTGTGCTTAATCCATCAGTGAGAAAAACTTTACCTTTCCTCATATAAAGTAGTCCTCATGTTTCTTTAGGGGAACAATTTAATACTGAAGTCTGTATTGGGCCCAGGGGAAAGGTTGGTACTGATGCAGCTGTGCTGTTAGTACTGCCCAAAGCTCTTCCCTGCCACATAAGCTAGATGAGAGGTTGGCTCTGGCAGTGGTGCAGTGATAGCAGTAATAAACCCACTGCTGAGGGAATTACTTTAAACACAGCAGAGGTAAAATAAACAGAACTCAAGGCAGCCAGCAAAAAGGAAGGTGAAAAACGAGCATCTCCTACAGTTCCCATGGCATAGGATATAGAAACACAGAATCATCTAGTTTGGGATAGACCTTCAAGATCACCAAGTTTAACCATCAGCCTGACCTGTCGTGCCTAAACAGATTCACCTTGCTCAGTTTGTGAACTGTGTGCTGACCTCGCTTTCACTCAGACTCCAACTGTAAATGCTACAGTAAAAAAAAATTGAGTTGGAAAACTTAAAGTTGTCAGTATTTTATTGAGGGAATGCTGATTTGTCAGTGAATGTTCTGGTATGCATCATTTAACAATGGAAAGAAGTCTAAGGCAGAAATGTTGTGTTAGAGTTATCTAACTTGTGTAGCTATAATGCAATTTTTTCTTGGCTAAAGTAAGAAATGTACAAGCATCACTGCTTTATTTTTAATCAGTGTGGGCTATGTACATATTTACCTCTTCTTGGTTTCAGGCCTGAGGAGTTCATATGCTAGTCAACACAGTCAACTAGGACAGGAATTACGATCGGCTGTATCTCCTGACTTGCACATCACCCCTATCTATGAAGGCAGAACTTACTACAGTCCCGTGTACCGTAGTCCAAATCATGGAACAATTGAGCTCCACCAGGGATCCCAGTCAGCACTGTATCGAACAGGGTCAGGTAGGTAAAGGGCTTACAGAGCTCTTCCATCAGCCTTACCAGAGCTGTGCTTGATTTACATAGTGAAGCTTTTCTGGGGCCTATGGCATATGGGAGATAGGTAGCATTGATTTCAAAGGAGAAACTATATGCCATAAATCAGTGCGGGTAGAAAATAGGTTAGAGGTACTTAAATGACCAGCAGGAATTTAAAGTTTTTATGATGTTTGCAGGAAATATGCTGTGTATTTGGGCTGTATATGAGTGTCAGGTTAGGATCAGAATACGTTCATTGATGACATGCACTCAGGTACATTCAAGCAGAGTATTTCATGACATAAACATTTTGTTGCTTGCTCTTTCTTTCTCTGTGCATCATTCACGTACCAGCTGAGCGTGTTCTTTTTTTCCTTTTTAAATTCACCAGGGCAGTAAAATGATAACTTGCACAACTAAATTACCTACCATATCTTTCACAGTAATAATACAGTTTTTCCCTAACTTCCTAGCTGAGGATGCCAGAATGCTACATCTGAAGATAGCATAGTGAAATATTTCTATAGTAATTGGTAGAATTGCTACTGACAGATAATGAAATGCATAGGCATTATTAATAGTATTAGAACTGATTCTCTGTAAAGAGAATGGTTGATTAATTTATGTAGTGGAGTAATTTCTAAAAATTGGAAATTTGGAAATTTGGAAATTGGAAAAAAAAATGTGGAAATAATAGAGTTATCTAACTAAACTCTCCAGAAATATTTACAGAGAAGTGTCCAATTCATGTCTTACATCTGTACATCTGAAAACTGCTTCTTAGTGCATTTCATTCCTGAAATACAAAGAGCACAGGATATTGATGGAGGCAATGGCTTTTGCAGTTATCCTCTCTTCAACAGCATACAGTAGATACAGTTTGTCAAGATATGCCAGTATGTCCACCAGATGTAACTAGAAATTTGAATTCTCTGTTTACTTGTCCACCTCATATCAGTGACTTTGAAGAACAGAAGCTATCACAACAGTTCTGCTAAGTCAGGAAGCTACATACATGTTCCTGGCTTTGAAATCATTAGCTTAATACTTTGAAATCATCCCCTTACTAGCTTTTATTCAGGGAAAATGTACAAGTAATTGTGAAAAGTAAAATAGAATACAAACTACGTAAATATTTGTTTAATTCTTTTTCCTTTTTCTTTTTAGTACTGTTGGCAAATTGAAGTTACTGTTGGTAATTGAATTTTATTATACACCTTAAAACATTTTGCATCCTAATTTCTCCTTAATGGCACAAGATGCATATCTTTCTTTAAATGCTCAGGCAAGCTGGGGCATAAGCCTGATTCCACCAAACCTATATTTCTGCAGCCAGCCTCTCTGCCTTCTCTGGGATGTTGAGTAACTGTTCCCTTACAACTGGCGGCAGCTTTCAACGTTGAGCACTATGCACCTTTTTTAGACTGATTTTTTTGCTTACACTTTTAACTTTGTATTGTCTCTTCTCTTCGATAGACATTTGTTACCTGGTTTGTTTTAATACTAATTTTATACTAGGAGTTGGAAATCTTCAAAGATCATCCAGTCAGCGTAGCACACTCACATACCAAAGAAATAATTATGCTCTGAACACAACTGCTACCTATGCGGAACCCTACAGGTCAATGCAGTACCGACTGTCAGAGTCTGGCTATAACAGGCTGCAGCACGCAGCGCCCGCCGACGATGGGACCACGCGATCTCCATCCATAGATAGCATTCAAAAAGACCCCAGGCAAGTCCACTTGTGCTTTCGAGAACCAAACATTCTTTATCATAAGATGATATTTACTGTCTTTATGAGAGAAGTCTTGGTATTGTTGCCGTGGGGGTGGTCACACTCTGGAACAGATCGAGGTGGCCCACGCTCCATGCTTGTCAGTATTGAAGGTGCATTTAGGTAACGCCCTTGGTAATGTACTGCTAATTTTTGGTTAGCCAAAAGTGATCAGGCAGTTGGGCTAGATGACCTTTGAAGGTCCCCTTCAGCTGAATTATTCTTTTCCACTGTTGTTAGGGAGGAATAAATCTCAAAGTAGTTGTTGAGTGACTCAAACAAGATCAGTAATCAAACTTACCTTTGCTGATGAGTGGATTCTGTGGTGATCTGACAGGCCATGCTGCATTAGCCTTTGAACAGCTATTCAAGTACTCTTCTTAGCACATCACTTCCTTAGGTTTTTGAGAATAGAAAAACTTAAATACTGCTACTTTTTTTTTCTTAACCATTCCTCTACAAAAAGAAGAAAATGGCCCAACAAATGTTAATGGTAGTTTTTCTAAATCTGGGAATTAGGCATAAGCATGCTTAATGACTTCTCCAGGATTTGACTACACAAAATTGCTGCGTTTAATAAAGTTTGATTAAAGTTATTTCAAGTTTAGTATCCCCGATTAACTCAATTTTTTCAAATTTACTGCATCTGATGATGAAATCTTGAGACTGCACAGCTTTTGTTCAAGTACAGTTGGCTTCAAATAAGACCACTGAACACTGAGGAAAAGGTATTGCGTAAGGATGCGCACTTAAGTGGCAATGTTCAGTGTGCATCTTGCATTATATATTTCAGCTCACAGAGATTTATATAAGTTGCAGTGTTTTAGTTGGTATAGTTTTAAAACCTATATCCGTGTTGTCAACAACCAAACTAACTCAAGAGTGCAGAATACAAAGGGTCCTTTTCCAGGAAGAAGACTAGAAGCTGATGTGACATAGTTATTCTAATGTAATTGGTTTTCTTCCTACCCCCAATATTCCAGAACAAAACCAAAAATTGTTTACAATTCTTAAGATACTCTACTAGTTCTACTTAGTAAATAAACATATATTTGTAACTAATGCCTTTCCTTCAATGTGTTCGTCCAACAAAGGGAGTTTGCTTGGAGAGATCCGGAACTGCCTGAAGTCATTCACATGCTCCAACACCAGTTCCCATCAGTCCAGGCGAACGCAGCCGCCTACCTTCAGCATTTGTGCTTCGGAGACAACAAAGTGAAAACAGAGGTACTGTACTGAGTGCATTTCTGATCTGGAGGAAGCTATAAACTGAAAGAGCAACTGGAGCTCTGGTCTTTGTTTTCCTTTCTTGTCACAACACCATGTTCTAGAGCTCGTGTGTTTCTGTTTGCACTAGCTGTACGTTAATATTGAAGTATACTTGTGTTCAGATGTGTGGAACTGCAGACAAATACACACACATCTTTCCTGCATAACAGCTGGAAGTGATGTGCATAAGTCTAATGTTGGGTAGTGTAATCTAGCAGAAATGTGGAATACATTTCTTGACACCTGTGTTCATGGAACCTGTTGATGTCTGTAGACAGATTCTAAAGGAATTTGCTTTTTCATTCATAAGTGGGTTTTATTTGTTATTTTCATGATAAATATTATGTAAATAAAGTGTTGATGTAAGTTCTACAAGAAGCTAACCTAGCACAACTCGCTGCTCAATGGTGGTGGTTTCGATCTTCTGCTAAAGATGATAGTGATCAAAAGATGTAGGCAGGCTCATAGGCAGTCTTGCCATTTTTTAAGAGGTGGGACTGCTCATGTAGGAGTTCTTGGGATATTATTTATCTGTGTACATTATTCTGTAAGATCTTGTTTGTTCCCTTTTTATTTTCATTGTTAAAGGACTCATTTGGGAAATTATAAAATGTCTGCTTTATTTTTTTTCAAAAAAGCACAAACAGAACAGCAACATGACACATTTAAGCACTATCTGAGTGGGATATTAACTTCTCCGTTGTATCTGAAGTAGCATCTCAGTTATTTGCCCTACTTAACACTGGAGCTATTTGGTATTTGACATGCCTTACTAGCAGTTTGAGTACCAAGTACTGTAGCTGTATGGTACCATTCAGAGAACATTCCCCTCAAAGCAGAGGCCAGCAGCCAGTATTATTTATGATAGGGAAGAATCATGATTAATTTATTGCCAAGATCAGTAAAGCTTTCTTTGAAGATTGCATCAACTTTGTATTTTTATTAATTATTTAGATTTATTATCTTATTGTTGTGATGAAGACCAGATAAATTTTCCAGACTTGACAAATATTAAAAGCATTTGCAAAACAAACTAAATGCCTGCACGTGTTTCATGCTGAAACATGAAGGTAAGCAGAAGAGTATCAGGAAAAAAAATTATTTAAATTAACTATGAAAATGTTTGGAATTAATAAATTATACTCTGATCTAATGAATTAGTTTTTTTATAAATATATTCAATGGTACTTTGTTGGTGCAATAATGTACCATTTTGTGAGTGGCTTTTGGTTGGTTTGTTTTGGTTTTGTTTGTTTGGGGTTTAATTTATGAATGGAATCAGAGAAGCAACAGCTGCTACATTTAAAGGTATTTAATGACTCAGTAAAACAAAATCCTCAGGAATGGTTTTCTAACTCCAGTTTTATCTTGAATAAATCATATGCACAAAAACTGCATCTCATCCTGGAAAAATGGTACATCTGTTGTGTCACTTGGAACTTGCATGGGTGTTATGGATGTGTAGTGTAAATGTTTGTCAACACAACAGCGCTTCAAACATTATAAGGGAGATTAAGCAGGTCCAGAGGAGGGCCACGAAGCTGATCGGAGGGCTGGGGCACCTCTCCTATGGGTGAGAGAAGGCTCCTGGGAGGACTTCATAGCAGCCTTCCAGTACCTGAAGGGCTACAGGAAGGTGGAGGAGGGACTTTTATAAAAGGGGCGCCTTTATGAAGGGCGGGTAGTGACAGGACAAGGGAAATGGTTTTAAACTGGAAGAGAGTAGATTTATTCTAGATATTAGGAAGAAATTCTTTACTGTGAGGTAAAGAACAGGTTGCCCAGTGATGCTGTGATGTTCCCTCCCTGGAATCACTCAAGGCCAGGCAGGATGGGGCTGTGAGCAACCTGGTCTACAGGGAGGTGTCCCTGCCTGTAGCAGGGGTTGGAACGAGATGATCTTAAAGGTCCTTCCAACCCAAACCACTCCGTCATTCTAAGTGGAAATGATAGTTATTTCTTGCTTCTGTTCTTCAGCAGCATAAAAATTATTAGCATTAAGAGGTAATAGCACCATAAAAGTATTTGTTTCTACCAGCCTCCTGCATTTACTTTGTATCAGATAAATAAACTATAGCCCAATGTTCATGGAGCTTCAGACTTGGTAGCTACAGGTGCGGCCAGAGGAATCACCTGGGGCTTGAAGGCCACTGGCTGCCCTCAGCAAAGGGTTCCTGTTGGAACAGCAACCGCTTCACGTGGCTGATCAACGCCAAGCTTTGTATGTCTGGGTTTTATAACATATGTGATAGATACTAGGTGTGGAACTGTTTCCTTTTGAAACAATACACTTTCGTTTTGAAGAATAAACTTTTTGAACAGAGATCTAGAAAAAATGTACAAGTCATCAGCCTTTTCTTTTTATCTACTTCAGGTGTGATTTGACAGGCAAAAACAGCCTGTGGGACCTTCAGGTTGGGTTTTGGTTTTGTGTTTGAAGCCTCTTCAATCTGTCTGCTGTTAGGGACAGATGAAGTTATTCATCATTACGATACCCAGTGCCAATTTCCAAGAATGTAATAGAGAGGGTGCTGGTTTTCAAAGCATCGATTTTAACAGATTTGGCTGAACCTCAGTTCTGTTTCCATTAAGTGTTTTGTTTTATTCACCTTGTGCTGTGGCCAACAAAAGTGAACTTTAGAGTCAAAAATTCATGGAAGCTGGTACATATCAGTGTATTTCAAATGGCCTTGTGTCTTGCCAAACTAATGGGTGTATCACTTAAAATAGAAAAAGGACCTCTTTAAATGTGGTCCTATGCTGAAGTAGAGAACCCCCAGAACTGCAGTTTCACTTGGATCTGAATGCTTGGCCCAGAACCACTTCCTGGGTAAGAAAAGGAGTTGGTTGTATTTCTTCTGCCTGGGATTTCCTTCTGGGGCAGCAGCAGTTCAGCAACTGTAGGTGTGGGGGTTTTCGTATGCCAACTTCAGCATATTCTGTGGATGGTATGGCATAAATTTACTGTACAGTGCTAAAATAGTGCCAGGTTGTAACAGACCTATCTAATACTGCAAATAGCTCATATTAAAAAAAATAGCCTTCTGATGTGGATTGTTAACTCAAAATAACGTTAATCTTAAATTAGAAGAATAGTAGAATATCCTGCCTTTACAAATAAAAGCCTTTTAAAACCATAGAGTGAAATGCACGAAAGCAGCAGGTGCTGATATTCCTCTCCTGTTTCCCAGGTGTGCCGGCTGGGAGGGATCAAACACCTGGTGGATCTCCTGGATCACAGAGTCCCGGAGGTTCAGAAGAATGCATGTGGTGCACTGAGAAACCTGGTGTATGGAAAGTCTACAGATGAAAACAAAATAGCAATGAAGAATGTTGGTGGGATCCCTGCACTTCTGCGATTGCTTAGAAAATCCATTGATGCAGAAATAAAAGAGCTCGTAACAGGTATGTTTTGGATAGAGACCAGTGCAGAACTATAACATAGATAATGTTTCTAATGTGGATGAGACCTAGAAATAATTGATAAGTGACTGGAATTGAGTATATTAGCTGGATTTTTTTTGTGCATTAGTATTTTGTCAATACAAAACCACATATTTTGATTACTAACAGTTAAAAGCTTTAGCATAGAAGTACAGATTCATGGGGAGAAGTGAATCCTGAAGTTACTGCCCCAAAGTTCCAAAGTAAATTTTGCGATGCTCCTACAATCACAGCCAGGCCTCAAGTCAACATTTCTTTTACTCGTAACCTAAGTTTTATTACAGGCATCTTTTTTTTTAATCAGTTGCTGTGAACAGATCCTGCAGAATTCAAAAGATGAAAACAAACTGTGTATGTGTGTTTTACAGTTTAGGTAAATAGTTGGAAATATGCATCTTCTACGAGGCTCTCAGTGTCCAGTCTACTAGAACAGTCATGGCAAGCACGTGTGTGTTCACCCTCAGCTCTGGATTGTGAGGCACTGCATTTAGCTTATAGGCCATGAGTTTGGCACTTGTTGCAGACAGAAAGAATAAATGACTTAAAGTTCCGATTGATGAAGGAACTCTGTTTCCTTCAGAAGAAACTGGATCTGTTGAGTATTGCATACCTGTCAGGCAGCAGAACGAGCTGTACCTTAGGAAAGGGGAAGGAACGTTTCCTGTCAGTCAGCATATGTTTCAGCTGGGTTTCTTTCCTTACGTAAAAGAGGAGAATATTTGTGCATGAATATACTTGCTTTCCTTCTCAGCATTGTGGAAGGATTGGCTGCTGCTCCGTTAGGGCTCTCTGTGGGGGCTGTCCTCTCACCTTCCTGCTCCTTCATCAAAGAGATCGCAGCCTGGACAGTCAGCCAGGATGGGGGATGCCAAATACATCAACTTGAATAGGAGAAAATGTTACAAAGCAAGTCCTTTTATGGCAGCTTTGCTGACTATTTATAGACTGTTACTCGAACTAAATACATAGGCAAATTATCTTTCTCTTGTTAAAAGCAAAGTCTGTTAAGTAGCCAGTATTGCTGCATATCTGTTACCTCTAGCGACCACAATGGAAATCTTTTCTTAAGGGGTTCTCTGGAACTTGTCTTCATGTGATGCGGTGAAGATGACAATCATAAGAGACGCTTTGTCAACGCTGACAAACACTGTGATAGTGCCACACTCCGGGTGGAACAGTGCCTCCTTTGATGATGATCATAAAATTAAATTTCAGACTTCCCTGGTTCTGCGCAACACTACAGGATGCCTGAGGTAACCTCCTGTTCTACAGCACCCCATGGTACACAGCAGCCCTGCTACCCAGCAGGTCCTTCTTACCCTTAATCTTTAAGGCAAAATTGCTGTTGCATTCCATTTAATTCTATTGTTCAAACAGCTTTCTTTTTTTTTTTTTTTTTTCCTGTATTAAGAGAATGTGAAAAGTACGAAGTCACCAAGAGGTGTTAATTATAATGGCTAATAGTTAAATTTTGGCTGGTTTTTGTATGAAGTGCAACTGATCATTTTACTTTCTATATATACAAGTAAAGAAATGTTTGACTATTCCCTTTGTGGATTTCTCAAACACAGTAAGAAGAAAAGTACTCTTCAGAATAATAAAATATGAAACTAAAACATCTGAAAAGAGAAATCAAAGACCCAGGGCAGCATGTGAGCTATTTCTGTTCACTTGTATGTTCGTTTATCACTTCAATTTATTGCTTTTCAAACTTTTCCATTAGGCAACGCAGTAAGACCATTGTTTTTCAGTAGATACACTGAAACTGCTTTTTATTTTCTGGTAACCCTTCTATACTCCAGAATATTTTCACATCCTACTATTTTTTATTTATTGGGTTATTTTTCAAGGCAAGGTTCACACTGTTGTTGGACATTCAGTGCTACTATAGCACCTAGAGAACATGCACCTTCATGGTCAGCATGCAGAGTTAGCAGCAGGGCTGGTCTCAGAGCACATCCACTCACCACATACATGTCAGGATTTGCAGGGTGGTTACCTCGGAGGCAACTAATTGTCTGTATATCCTTTGCTGCTTACTCTGAAGGACAGTGCAGCCTGTTCCTTTCCCCACACCCTAGTTTATACTTCTATGTATGCATATTACAAATGTCAGTGGCATTGCACCATAGAACACAGCACTGAATGAATCCAGTCTTACAAAGAGGCAGCAAAGGGTATTTTTAACAGAGATGAGTCCAACCACCTATCCTACAGCATACATGCTGTACTTTTGTGCTACTACAACAGAGACAGCTTGTATGGAAAAAGTCTGTGAGAAAGGCATTCTCTTAATGGCTTGTTTTGTCCTTGAGTCAGTTCTACCTTGGAATTATCACTTGAATCTTATTCGTCTCTTATGAAAGCTGGGAGGGGGTTGCTGCACCAAATGGTATGTTTGCTTTTAACTTCTCTAAGTCAGTTATTATTATTATTCTATGGGGGTTTTGTTTGTTTAAAAAAAAAGAAAAAGTTAACTGCAAACTGTCTGATAAATGATGTCTGTCTGTCGGTGGGTGCACTGCATTTGTTTCTCATTTTGCCTGTTTAGGAATCTGAGCTCTGCGGGGGAAGAAGCCCGGAAGCAGATGAGGTCCTGCGAAGGGCTGGTTGATTCACTGCTCTATGTGATCCACACCTGTGTGAACACATCGGATTATGACAGCAAGGTGTGTGCTCATTTCATCTGAGGGATTTCTAATGCTAACCTATGTGTCTGATCTAATCTCTTGGGGTTTGTGTAATGCAGTTTCTCACTGTGATATTTTTAACTCAGCTGATCGTCTCTCAGCCCCACGTCACTGATGCACGATCAAATTCTGTCCCATAATGCAGTCGTAATTTGTTCTGGACTATTCACTTCTGCCAAGTATTCATTCATTTAATAATAAGCTCTCATGCTTTTCATTTGCAGGTTACTAAAACCAGTATAGTAGGGAAGACTATTATAAATATTTTCATGTTTGGTGATATCAGGAGAGAGATTGCAGTTTTCCCAAAAAAACAAGTATAGTAATGTCCAAGGCCCAGAATTAGAATTTGATGCTTGTGCTTTAGAATACCTTTTGATCTGTGCTCAATTTGTTTTATCACTACACGAGAAAGCAACAAGTTACATGTTGTCTTTACAATTTGGTTTCAGACAGTGGAGAACTGCGTGTGCACCCTGAGAAACCTTTCCTACCGCTTGGAGCTGGAGGTGCCTCAGGCGCGTCTGCTGGGCATCAATGAACTGGACGACTTGTTGGGAAAGGAGTCACCAAGCAAAGACTCCGAGCCAAGCTGCTGGGGGAAAAAAAAGAAGAAGAAAAAAAAAACTTCACAGGAGGACCAGGTTTGCCTCTTTTCTTTGATTACAAATGTTTAAAATGTTTAGCTAACGATGAACATAACTTGAAGAAAGATACCATATGTTGAATGAAAATACAGAGGTTTATTGTATTTACAAATACATATTCATTTCTCAGTGGGATGGAGTTGGCCCTATACCAGGATTTTCCAAGTCTCCTAAGGGGGTAGAAATGCTGTGGCACCCATCGGTAGTGAAGCCGTACCTAACGCTTCTAGCAGAAAGCTCCAATCCAGCCACTCTCGAGGGCTCTGCAGGATCTCTCCAGAATCTTTCTGCTGGCAACTGGAAGGTATCTGAATTCCTGCTCTTCCTTCTGTTTCTTTGTAGAGTGTGGCATCAGAGCTTATGTGCTATGAAAATGTTATTTCTGCAGTGAAAGGCAATGTCGAAGATGGTAGGCAGGAAGAGCAGTCTGGAAACTATACAGTCAAAATGTACATGTACTAGGCAGTAATAACACTTCATAACATCAGGACTGTGGTATGTAGTATATCGGTTACGAGCATTAAAAACTTGTATTTGCTCTATCATTTTTATTTCCATATATTGCTGCTTATGGCTCTTGCACACAATGTGTTACAACAGCATTAGGTGAGAATACTTCAGTAATGTTATGTATTTGTCACAGAGAGATGGAGAAAATGTTAATTGCTTTCATTTCTTAAAATGTCCTGCCATAGCAGAGTCAGCCCTTTTTCATAATGATGAAGGGAAGTATTTAACTGTTAACATATCATCTCTGCACTGGAAAATGTAAAGATGTCCTTGAAATATTAAGAATTATCATCTAATAAGACAATTTCAGTCAGAATGTCCCACTAGATCTGCAGGTAACTTGGAGCTCTGTTGCAGTTTGCAGCATACATTCGAGCTGCTGTAAGGAAAGAAAAAGGACTGCCAATCCTTGTGGAACTCCTGAGGATGGATAACGATAGAGTCGTTTCATCTGTGGCAACCGCCTTACGGAACATGGCATTAGATGTTCGGAATAAGGAGCTTATTGGTGAGTCCAGAACTGTGAGGAATAAGTCTGACTTAATATTGAGAGAGTGCAAGGGAAGATTCTACCAATAGAAATAGCATATTTGATTTTACTGTATCACATCACTTGTGCCCCAGAAGTTAATCTTTTTGACAGCAGGACTTTCCAGAGTAATGCCGTTGTTTTGGTTTGCCTTTAGCCATCTTGCATGCCTGTCTCTTCACAATGGGCTGAAGTGACCTCAAATGAACTGAACAGGAAACTGTCAGTACAAAATATGATGGAAAACACTACTCTGCTTCCTTGGAGCTAATAAATGGTAACCTTCTCAGAGGGCTTCAGGGTCCCTTATGTGTACTAAGAGAACAGGACAGCCTTGCTGCCAGAGCACCAGTAGATGCTTTAGTAGTGCTGGATAGGGAGAGAGGGCAAAAATCCTCTCCTAGAGAAATATTTCCACCAAAACCCAGATAGAGAACAGTATATATATATGCCTTTGCTGAATTAAGTAATCAGTAAGGATGCTTGCTAGAAGAACTTAATGGTTTTCTTCTGACAGTTTTAATATTTAACATTGAAAGCTTTCATCTATGCCTTTCTCATCTACCCTTTAAAAATAAAAGTAAAAACTTCTCCTGCCTTGGTCAGGAATCTGTCTACTATGGCACGTGTTGACCATGCCTTGCTCCTGTGGCCCAAAGGAACCTGCTAACTCATAGCAAGATGTAAAGATGTTTGATTTTTGTAACAGGAATTTTCTATATTGTAGGCTATGGAGTAAGCATGCAATAGTTATTTATACAGATAAGAGATAGTTACTCTCAAAAAAATAAATGCAGTTGAAAATTATATATTTCTGGAGCTTTGCCATATGGCATGTTCAGAACATGTTTTCTTGCAGAGCATGTATTATATCTATAAAAAATTAGGAGAAAAACATATACTCATGTTCCGTTGCATCAGCCATATACAGGCAATACTCTGTGATAATCTATTTTCAGAACTTTTCCTTCCCCTCACAGCAGAACTTGTCAGTTAGGAATGTCCCTCCACTTGCGCTCTCTCTGTAAAAGCTTTAGCTATTGAAGAGTTATTGGCTTTCCAGGCATAAAATATTCTGAGACACGAAGTGAGTCCGAAACCAGCCCGTGCCAGTGCCCTGTTTTATACAACTTTGTCACCATTTGTTGGTGCAGAGCTCTCGGCTTTCAGTGATTGAATCTCTGGGGGGAAAAAGGTTATTTAAAAGAGTGGGTACTCATTTGAGTAGCAGTATAAGAAGGTATGTGGAAATGTGTGTTGCTGAGCTTGCCAAAACATTGGCAGTGACAGAGTAGTACTGTGTACAGCGTTGTTGGTGGGAACTTTCCGCTGTGTTTGAAAAGAAATTGCTTTTGTGCGCAGAATTTATTTTTGGATAAAATTTTTCCCCAGACACATTATGCAAATAGACAGTGAAGGGCTTTGAGAAAGGCTTCTTCATCAAGCACCACGGCGTACAAATACAAGTCTTCAGTAAAATCAATTAATAACCGTTTAATTAGCAACAGGACCTAAACAGGAAAAGAAAATAAAAAACACTTCAGCTTTACTTGATTTCCTTTATTTGCAGTGTGATTATTCCTGTCAGTAATTGAAACTGAAGGAGCTGAGATCTTATCTCTTGTGGGTGACAAACAGGGTGAACAGAATGTCTGAAGGAAAAAGGCCCACATGACTGTAAGGATTTCTTTAGCCCCCCCCATAGATGAAGCCAAGGAATGTGCACAGCTCCTCAAATCACATGAAATAATGTAATGTTTTCTCTTGAACAATTCTGCTTTCTCCAAATAATCTCTGTTTCTAAATGCTCCAGTTTTAATACCAAAATGCAGGTTACTTCTCATGGTTTTTAAGCCAGAAGGAGAGAAGGGAGAAGAGAAAAGTGATCTCTACTCTTACTGCATAAAGTGTGAAGTCTTGGAGTTTTTCTGTGGATTGGATCCCGTGTTCCATTTGACTGCTTTCAAATGCAGTTTATTGATAAGTCTTAGAATTTCAAATCTTAAGTACCAAAACATACGTTCTGACTTGGTTCTGTTGATGGGTTGTTACAGGCAAATATGCTATGCGAGATCTGGTGAATCGACTGCCAGGAGGCAATGGCCCAAGCATACTGTCTGATGAGACTGTAGCAGCAATCTGCTGCGCGCTGCATGAGGTCACCAGCAAAAATATGGAAAATGCCAAAGCCCTCGCTGATACCGGGGGAATAGAAAAGCTGGTGAACATAACAAAAGGAAGAGGTGACAGGCAAGTAGGCAACAAATTTCATACATCGTCTGTTTATTTCATTTCAAATGTGTAAGAATGCAGGTAACCAGGGGGAAGGGGAGTTTAAAAATAAAAATAGATTTTAAAAAGTCTGTTCTTTTTTTTTTTACTGTCCTGATCTGAGTAGCTACCAAGTCTGAGTCACAGTGGGACAGAAGAGGCAGTTGGTCTGGTACCTGTCATTCTTTTACAGTGTATTCCTTACAGCTTTTGGAGACTATTACAGCTGCAGACAGTAACCACATTAATGGGGTCTATTCAGGGAAAACAGTATTTAAAAACTTATCTTTTAAATACCTACAACATTAATAGAGTATTTAGAGCTTTTTGAAATCAGAACATGTTTAACACCTTCATCAGGATATCTCAATAGCTATTAATTATATTGAGCATGGCCAGTTGTTAGGCTGTGAGGAAAACCTGCCCTACCAAACAGCAACCTTGCCAGTGGGATTCTCTGGAATAGGACTGCTGATGGGTTGGTTGATGGGTTCTGGCTGTCTGCAGACTGCTGTGGGTCTGTCTGTGCCATGCAACCTGGTGTGCTAGGGGCTTTATAGGGCACTGTGGGCAGTAGCACTGATACCTTTCAGAAGTAGGTGGGTAGCAGAGCATCATGTTGTGGGAATGCCACAGTGTCTGAGTCATGCAGTGCCAGCACCAAGCCAGCCTCAGGGACCCCATGTAGTTCTGATCAGGATCTCTGCTTTAAGCTGCTCAGTGTATCTGATGGAACGCATGCTGGCAGGACTCTTGCATAAAGTAGGAAATCCTGGATCTCCCTTCTTTGGTCAGCACAAAGCTGATTATCCAGTCAGTCCCGTGTTTTGTTCCCACTATTTGATCGCGCAGCAGTGGGGAGGAAAGGATCTGCAGCTGTGCAGAAGTGTGAATTAAATGCACAGCATTTTTATCAACATCTGTCTGAAAAGAAACTGTGGGCTGTATTTTGAGTATCTGTGATTTATGATAGTTTGTATGTTCAAGGTGTCAGCTGTGACTATTACTGTTGTTCTGTGGAGATTATGTGGAAAGTTGCTCTTACAACTACAAGAGAACAGGGTGCATAGGAGAGATCTGGAGGAAACAACCACAAGTTATGCTAGGAGAGGTTGAAGTTGGCAGTTGGGAGGAATTTTTTCACAGGGATGCGGTCAGGCATTGGGATGGGCTTCCCTGAGTGACAGTGAGTCCCCATCATGGAGGTGTGCAAGAGCCAGGGGATGCAGAGCCTGGGGACCTGTGGTAGTGGAGGTGTGTGGAACCGATGGTTGAGATTCATGGTTGTTATGAGGGTCTTTTCTGACCTACATGATTCTGTGACTGAAAATCTTTGAATAGGTTAGAAGTGTCTACTCACTGACTGACGCTATAAACTGCAATTTTTTTCAGCTTTTTCAGTCATGTTTTTCTTTCAAAAAGTTTGTTTGGATGAATCTTCACACTGACAGGAAAAGGCACATGTTTGACACAGATGTGCTGTGGAATTTAATTTCAAATCCCTTCTTCAGTACCAACACCAGGCACAATGACATGACTGCTCTTCATAACAGGCAGAGCAATTCCCTCACCTTGCTCTTGAGAATGGAAAAAGTCTCACTGACCAAACCACTCCTGTGATAGCACAGCACAGGTTGGAGAACCAAGTCCTATTTGGAGGATGTTGGGACACATTCAGCACCAACTCCCTTTAATTTGTTTGCTATTTTTCTACTGCTAGGAACATTGTATAAAGTTTTAAAGTATATAGTCTCAGTTTTTGTGAAATGTACTAAAGAATGTTTCTTATCACAATGTTTTGTTTTTGTGTATGATGACCATGAAGAGAGAATTTGGTGTGGTGACATGAAGAGAGAATTTCTAGGCTGAAGAGAGAAGTAACTGTCATGTCAGTGTACACAGCCTTTCTTGACCCTGCTGACACTGCTGTACTGCAGGCAGCACTAAGAGCTGGCTTTCTTCACAGCTGCAAGGTTTAGGCTATTCCATCGCTCCAGAACACCATTCTGCTTAAGTGGAGTTAATGCTTACTACTAACACAGTATTCTTTATTTCCTTAGATCTTCACTGAAAGTTGTCAAGGCAGCTGCTCAGGTACTGAATACGTTATGGCAGTATCGAGACCTTCGCAGCATTTATAAGAAGGTAGATCGCAAAATTAGCTTACATTGGAAAACAGTTGTATAAAAACTCTTAAGCTAAGATTAAGCAATAATTTATGTTCTTTGCTTTTTACCACTCCTCAGGATGGATGGAATCAGAGTCACTTCATTACACCGGTATCGACGCTTGAACGTGAGAGATTCAAATCCCATCCCTCGTTATCAACAGCCAATCAGCAGATGTCACCGGTCATACAGTCAGGTCAGTGAAGACACATAAAGAGATCTATTGAAGGGATACCTTGTATCTCATTGAGCTCAAACGGCCTTTGGGTTGACTTGGCATTCTAAAGCACGGGGGCTCTCTCTGTTTTCTCTGTATTTAACCCTACAAACAGCAGTGCAGAGGTGCTTCACGAGTGCTGTGTGTGACATGTCTGATACTGGTGGCAGGTTTCAGACCCCACAGTGTGTGAGCATCTCCACTTCTGCATTCGGATAAAGCACTCTTTGAAGTAAGCATCCCCTTTAACTCCTTAATGACAAAAGCTCAAATGAACTCAGAATGTGAGAATTGTATTCCTTTTGCAAGAATCTGAATCAGATGGTGATGGTGTACTTCCAGAACATCAGCAGACCCCAGTTGATAGCGGGCATGCAGCCCATGGGACCAGATTAGATGTAATCCTAAGTAGCATCCTCAGTGCACACTGTGTGGAGATCTGGACTTTGTCACTGTTTCCCTCTACAAAATCACTGCTTTTCAGCTGCATGGCATTGTAGGTCAGGCCTCTTACTTAAAAGCACACAGAGCAAACCCACTAGTGAGGGACCTGTTTTTGTTCCAATATAATGAGCAAAACAAATGCAACACATCTTACTCTTCTGACTCCTCATTGTTGCAGTAAACTCCCCTTTGTTCCTTTAACATCTCCAGGAGTAGGATTTAGATCTTTGTGACAGAACTGCCATGCAAGGCTTTCAGTGGGTTTTGTATCCTCTGAATTTAGCATTTTATTTCATCCAATTTGTCTACCTATTTTTATGTGAGTATATCTCTCTTAATACTGAGAAAAATACATTTGCCATTTGCTAAAATAATTGACCAGCTCTTACAATACAGTTGATTAATTACTTACATAAATAAAAGGAACAACACTCACACAAGTTTGTGAAACAGGTGACTGAAAAACAGGGACTCAGGCTGGGATATATTCTGCTATCAGCCGTATCCTGTAGTGACTTGGGGAAAGACAACATATCCTTCCTGCCCAGAGTTCCTCTCAGCCACCACCGTACAATACACCATACAATACAGGACTGATTTCTTTGTCTGGTGTCATAAAACAGCAGACTACAGTCTTCAGTTGTAGAGCATTTTGTTGTTCTGATCTTTTTGGTCAGTTACATGTTTGGTTTTCTCCCAGTCCTTTGGGTTTCTGAGAGATTGTCCTGAACAAACATCCCTTTTTCTCTCTCCAACCACATGGTACCAAAGGAGTTGCTATGTACTCTTAGATCTAGTTGCTAAGTTGCACATACTGGTATCAAAACTGCACCTTGAATTTGTGGACTGTTTAGGCCACATATCTACAGCCAGAACCAAAAATACATTCTCAATAGAAGCAGTGACGCTGAAGCAAATTCTGCTCAGGCTCTGGGAACTACAAGCTTTTCCTGAAGCTCTCCTCCTAAGATATGCTAGCAGAATGACTGTGGTGCTCCAGTTCTGTGAACTGCAAGTAGGAAATAAGATGGGAAGTTCTAACATAATATTCTGAGGCTGTTGTACTTCAAAGAGCACTGAGCAGAAACTAACAGGAAGTGCCTGTTTTTCTGTTCCAGAGCATGACCAAGCTTAAACTATTAGGATGGAAGCTCAATGCATAAAACTTATCTGCAGAGTACTGTGGGAACAGCCCTGCAGGTTGCAGCACACACAGCAGATGTGGTAGAACATTTGTACATGGTCTGTAGCAGTTGTTCTTCGTTAAAGTCACTCAGTGCACACATTAAGTTGACCACTTTCAGATGGTGCTCCTCCAGGTTAGCTTTTTTAGCCTTGAGTATGCTAGGAAAATATCATAATTAAGCTATTCTTAATAACCCAAAATTGTGAATATGATATAAAGGACACAAGTATTGGAAGAAGAAAAACAGGTATCTGTGAAAAAGAAAAGAGGTAGTTGTACAAACTTTCTGCATCTGTTCACAGTAATAAAAGCAATGGATTACGTTGTATTGTTTTGCAATGGCTGTCAGCCAACAGGAGCTGACCAAGTGGCCAAGATTCACTTCTGTGTGATAATGAAAGGAAAATAGTACAAGCCTGTGCATGGGTGACTTCAGCCAGGCAGAATGTAATGTTTTCTGACCTGTCCTGGGTGACATGGTGGACTTGAAGCTTCTATTTAAGCATAACCTAAATAAAATCATAAACTTTAACAAAGAAATGAATGAAATGGGTAAAATCTCTTACTTATTTCAAATCATTATGGAGTGGTGACTGGTTGTAAAAGTATCAGTGGTAATCTCATGGTGCGTTGTTGATAGCTCTCATCATTGCAGTTCTTTGTACAGGAAAGGCTATGCACTAATTTTGGCCATTACCCATGAATTTGCTCATCTCATTTGCTGATCCTTAGAGAAGGAAAGGGTGAGGAGAGAAGAGAGAAGGTCAGGTTTGAGAAAGATGATCAGTCTGCAATAACAGCCTTTCCTTTTTCATCAGTTGGCAGCACATCTTCATCACCGGCTTTGTTAGGAATTAGAGAACCCCGCTCTGAATATGAGAGAACACAACCTTCTATGCAGTATTACAACAACCACGGCGATATCATTGCTCATAAAGACATCTATACTGGTAAGGTACTAGCTAGGTGACCTCCTAGCTGCAATAGGTAAATATTCCTTCTGTGTGGAGTTCATGCAATCATAATATGGACAGCTGCATTAGCAGAAATGTTGCTTTTAATGTTGTTTTCACTTTTATTTGTTGCATGAGGAAAAAAAGAGGTTTTTTATATTTATCTGCTATTTTCTTTAAAATTACAAACATTACCAGAATAACAGATTGTCTTTGAGATCCCTTCCAAACTGAGCTAGTTTTTGATTCTATGAATAAGAGGAGATCTGTTTATATGCTGGGAGATGAGGTGCTTGGAAAACTTATTTTAGTTTAAAAATCTGTTGCAGAAAATTTTATTATACACTTTGTATGTTATAATCAAACATTATTTTAATATGCATATATATTGTTATGTTATTATAAAGCTATACCAGTATTTCACACTTTCCTGATTTTGCTTTTCCTTCTTCGAGTCACAAAATAAGAGATGTCAGTAAAAAGGGAGAAATAAATTCCTCATTTTAAAGGTTATCAGCAGCACACATGCATGGGGAAAAGAAAAAAAGCACTGGGGTTTCTGTTTAACTACTGCTGAGGGATAACATTCACTTGTATCTCATGACTGTATTATTAGTAAACTGTAAAATCTGCAGACTTAATTGTTGGAGTGCTACATAATTTTTCTAGATAAAATAAAAGCACAAAGACAAAAAAAAATAGACTGAAGTTGATGCCAAAACCTATTTTCTCACAGGTTCCAGCAAAACGTCCCCAATTTACATCAGTTCCTATTCCTCACCAGCGAGAGAACAGAACAGGCGGCTACAGGTGAGTCTGAAATTTGGTTTTGAAGTGATACTGAAATAACTTGACTCAGCACACGGTGTCGTAATGGAACTTTAAAGGGTTTAAGTACACTTTGTAACGCCAGTGTTTTCTGCGGAGAGCTGAGCATTTCTGTCCTCAGCAGTACGTAAGCTGTTGTCAGCCTACTGCTGTGTTTTCTTTCTGTAGTCCCACATCTTTGTATGTTCTTAGCACAGCTGGATCGCAGACCGCTGTTCTGACTTGGCAGATATTTCAGGTTCTGTATTTTCTACACGTGCCCTAAAAACTCAGCTGTGGATTGTTACTGGCTCCGCAGTGGATGCAGGTGGGTGACCTGCAGACAGGCTGAGAGGTTTTTCCTGCTTTAGTTCTACCTGGAGCCTTAGGCGCGTTTCATGCAGTTTTCGTCACTGGAAGAGCTACACTTAGCTATTCAGGGAGAGTTTTGTGTGTAATAGTGTATAAGTTCTAAAAACAAGCATTTTCTCTGTTAAATTACATTTTAAAAGTTTATTTTTCTTTCACGTTGTCAACAGCATCAGCAACTGTACTACAGTCAAGAAGATACCAACAGAAAGAACTGCGACGCGTACAGGTTGTACCTGCAGTCCCCACACAGCTATGAAGACCCAAACTTTTACGATCGAGTTCACTTTCCTGCTACTTCAGACTACACAACACAGTATGGACTGAAATCAACCACAAATTATGTAGACTTTTATTCCACCAGACGATCTTCTTATAGAGCAGAACAGTACCCAGGTTCACCTGACTCCTGGGTGTAGCATCAAAGGGAAAAAAAAAAACAACAGTATATTTCTCATCGCGCTTGAGAAGAAATTGAATGGCCTCATTTGATGTCTTGGTTATGAAATCTGAAGGTGAAATAAAAGAGGAAATAAGGAAGTCTTTTGGTTTGGGTTTTGGAGGGCATTTGGCTTTGGTTTGGGTTTTTTTGTTTTAGTTTTTGCTGGGGGGTTTTTTGGGTGAGGAACCGTCAGAGAGAAAAACTGGAAGGGATGTTTCTTTGCTCTGTTAGATGTTAGGTATTATTACTTGTAGCTTCTGTAGTCTGGTGAGGGTGTGGGCGATGTGATGAAAGGTTTGAGAATTGAGTAAAATGAATTTGGAAAGTGTGTAGGTCAGAGCAAATTAAACCTGTTTTTTATGTGAATAAAAGTCTTGTTCTGATAGTTTGTACAGAAAAAAATAAAATGGATGCCCTTGTTTTATTGATATTACTAAATGTCAAGATTGTATGCTATTATGTCGTGTAAATTTCTTTCATTGGTGTAAATATGGAAATGCCACATTGGTTTAAAGTGCCATCCATTTGTAATGCAGTGTGTCATTTTGAAAGAGATTTGAAACATCGTACACAAAAAAAAAAATCCAAGAAAATGTTATAAATTAAAAAAAAATACAATTAATAGCATAATTTTGAAGCACAAAGTCCAGTTCAGCATACCTGCACCTCTCCCATTCCCATTCGCTGCATATTTCATACAAAAACAAACAAAAAACTTCACTGCCATTTTCTATGCACATGGAAGAATAATAAATATGGAAGTCTCATCCATGGAAAGCTGGTCCCTGTTCTTTTTTTTTTATTATTATTTTCGGCGTGTGGAATTTCAGAAACAAATACTGTGAATGCAAGGTGCAACTACTTTTTTTTTTTCAATCAAGTTAAATACATCAGAATTGCTTTGGCCACTGTCTCAGCATTCCACAGTGCAAGTGTTCCAGAGGTGCCAGGCTGGCATACCAAAGCATGAAGTTATGTCCTACTCCCAATTCCTTTGGCTACAGGCAATTGGGGTATGTTTGAACTTCATCCTGTGTTCTTCCCAGCACTTCTCTACTCCTCCCCTTTTTCCCCCCTATAAAACTTCTATCTTCTTGCTTTCAGAGAGTATAGTCTGTAGTTTGCACTTTGCTTGGATTTACTTACAATCCAAATCACTGATGACATTAGTAACTGTGTACTTTCCTCACACTGTAGAGTCTGTTGACTTTGTATTGTTCTTAGTTTTTTCTTCCCCATCCTAGCAAATTTCTTCAGTTTTCAGCATCTGCAAATGCCCCAGTTGTGTTGGTGCAGTGATGACAGGTAAAGGTAAGCAGAACCGCTCCAATTAAATTCACCTCTCCTTACTTGGCTGGGGGGTGCTTCTGCCCCCTAGCTGTACAAGGGGAAAGAAACGAAGGGGTAAACAGCCCAGTAGAAGAAATGAGTTGGGTCTTAACCTCTGTTACAGAGCCAAGCAACTCCCCACTGATTGCAGCATGATGCATTACCAAGGGACAGCATTGTGCAGGTGGTGCCTTTTCTTTCCTGGACTTCGGTTTTCTCCTTTTAAGGTAGGAAAGAGTTTCCATTTAATTCAATTTGAGTTTGTTTCTGGTAAGAACAGTTTGGTCACTGATCTTGCACCATAGTTCTGACTGCCTTCAGGGTCGTGTACAAGCTTTGCTACAAGAATGAATGTTGATCATCGGGTACACCCATAACTTCACTGAGCCAGATGTATTTATTTGGTACTGCATCGTCCCACGGTGCTTTCAATTAGTGCTGGATAATAAAGAGTGGTCTGACAGGATCACGGTCTGCTCTGATTTCCTTGGAATCTGCTGACATCTTTGAATCATTTTTACCTCTCAGCTGAGACTTTAATTAGGATCAAAAGCAGCAAGGCGTGGGCAGGCACCCAACTGGGATCTTCTGTGGCGTGGCAGATATATTTTGTTATGGTCATTTTCTTTGCTTTTTAATGGTCCCATTATTCATGTATTTCCACCCTTTGTCTTGGTACTACATGATTACAGTCATCTCCACATTCTGTTTGTTGGTTAATTTCCCTTTATGTACGGTTTCAAACCAAAGGCATGAAAGTGGGGAAAATCGGGGCACAATGTAATTTCATTGCTCACCTTCAGAGTGCAGGCTGTGTTTGGGCCAGCCAAAGGGCCAAAGGGAGCGTAAACGTAAGGCAGGGGCTTCTAAAATGCACTGTATTCATTGAGTTACATTCAGATTGATATTCTGGTGAGGAAAATAAAAGTTAACTATTCAAAACACCGATGTCCTTAGGACAGGGCGATGTTAATTTGGAAGTTAAAAAGTTGAATAGTAATAGCACCCTGGGAAATGTCCTTTATTTTCATCTTTCTAATAATTAAATTGTAAATGTGCTGAAAGAAGAACTAAACCTTATCAAAATCAGAGAGTTAAATAGCTTACGATTAGAACAGCTTGAGATGATGAGTCGTGCAGTACAGCAGCACTGTGCTAGTCCTTTTCCTAAGGAAGTACTGCAGAAGGCAATTAAAAGCAGCACTGACCTCAGTGAAGCAATTATGCTCACTAAATGCTGAACGATGGGAAAGAAGGACTGAAGTTAACATGTCCATAATTCCCTATCCTGAGTAGGAAGTGCCTGCTATGACCAAGTCAGGGAACGTCAGCCATCCCTGCTCGTGGCTCTCGGCTGTCAGACCCAAACTGGTGCCCTTGCTGCCATGCAGCTGCTCTGCTCAGCTGGCAGAGTGTGTTGGCCAGCAGCTCGCCCAGCCTCTCACGAGCACCGCCTTCTGAAATTTCTGCTGTGTGCTCGAAGACAGGTGTGTGTTTTGGCAGCACCCCAGGAGAAGCATTGAGCGACTCGGATGGGTACAGAAGCTGCAGGCTGTCTGGCACAGCACTGAGCTAAGAACCGTGCCCAGGGCTGCAGTGAGATCGCCTGGCTGCAGGTTGGTGTCGGTGGCGAGGATGTGGGAGCTGCCAAGTGAGACAGAGCCTGAATGGGCCGAGCACAGAGTTGCAGGGCACTCAGAGAAGGCTTCTGAGCCTGCTAAGAGCAATCCTGTTGCCATGAAAAATACATTGGCTACAAAAGTTAATTTCTGATGGGCATTGGAAAGCATACAGTGCCTCTTCTTTACCCACCCACCTGCTGTAGGGATTGTTCTTTATGGCTTTCACAGCCAGCAGTTTTCTTGTCTGCTGCCTTGTCCAGTTACTTCCTGATTGAAGTATCCCAATTGTTTCACTTCATGAAAATATTGATGATAGCTGTGCAAAACACTACAGGAAAAGTTACAGGAAAAAAGTGTTTGAAATCACCCTTTTTGGCAGTTGTTCTCTCTCTTTTTTTTTTTTTTTTTCCTTAATATCTTGGCCTTTAATTGTGGCTAAGGACATTTTACATTGTACGCCTAAGTGTGCTTCTCTACCCCGCGGTGTCAGTATTCTGCTCAGCTTACCCCATACTGATTTCCCATATCA